GGGAACCAAGACCTTGTCGATAAAGGCGTCGTCAATCAGACTTGTGCATTTACGTCTTGTGATCGACAATGGCAAAACTCCAAATGTCACAAGTCCTGATAACAAACTCGAACAACGACTCCGAGTTCATTCTGACACAAACGCCCTTGCAAATCAAATTACAGTGGTCGCTGGCCCTTCGCATGACCTTGAGCGCTCTCCGGAAAAAGCATATACAAAGTAAAGCTGCAAGCTGGCAGGCCCCAAGGGCTCTTAGGCAAGCACTGGAAGGAGGGCGTGGTCCGTCTGAGTGCTTGTCGATTCGCGATGATAGTCTAGGAACCCACGCGGCAGGGGTCCTCGGCTACAGCCCTTGTCAGGAGATGATTCAAACGATGAAGCAAGAGGTGCATACACTGCCTGCCCTGGGCGAGATTGCGCGTTTCTGATTGAGTTGATCTGATCTCGGGTCTGCCAACTGCTAGCTGACACGGACAAGCTGAAATTGATTGAATACCGGAGCGATGCGATGACTACGGCTGTTCTGTCATGCCGACGCTAAGTCTCATACAACTCACCACGGTAAGTTTCACCCCTTCAAATTTGACCGATCTGTGCCAAGCTGCGTTCGCAGCCTCTTGTAGCCGGCCGCAGGTTCCGAATACCATATATCCTCGGTCCCGGCCGGAGCAGTCAGAAGTTCCCTCCCCACCCCCGGGCCATGCCCCACCAGCCAGAAGCTGTCGGCCCTCTCCACTTGCAGCCGGGCAGAGGCGGACGACAAGGTTCGCTTCGCAATAAGTGCGCTTAAGGTGCTTTTGTAACCCCCATCTGCGCAAGGGTGGGTACAAATCAAACACCTAAACTTGTGAATTGCTAACCCGAAGAGCCTGACAACCCCCCCCCACAATCCTCAAATCCAAGATTCAATGGGCCATAGATTCAAGAGCTCCCGAGCAACACAACAGGCTTTGCAGCTTGGACCCGCCTGCATTGTGATGGCACTGGCATCGCCAGGCCACCGCCAGGCAGCTCGCGTCGCCCGGGCCGAATTAAGTTCGGGATGTGCGTGAAGGCCTGGGGTTCATGGGTCGTTGTAGGTGAGAGATGGCCGAGGGCCAGAGCTGGTGTATGTGGCTGTCGGTATCAAAGTGCTTCCCGTATGTCCTGCAACTTCCTTGATGTTTTCCCTTGCGGTTGTCCCTCACCGCTCTAAGACACTAGGATCACTAGGATAGGATAGGGCCGAGGCCAGTTTTTGTGGGTACAACGAGATCAAGCTCAAGCACTGGTGACTGCGGCTGAGACGTCAAGCATGGGGTGCCGCCCGTCGCGATGGCCCACAGCAGCGACAGTCAAAAAAAACTGAAGGGTCGAGGTGGATTCATGTTGATTCCAGGGGCTCCGATACTGCCCAATGGTGAAAGCAGTCGCGGGCAACTTCCGTTAGGTTGACGACCTCCGCTGCTTAATTTTGTTGAGTTGAGAAGTGTTGAGGAGTGGGAGTGAGCCAGGTTCCTGCAGCATCTTGCTTGCTGCAAGCCGCCACCACCACCATCAGCACCACCGCCAGCACCACCGCCAACACCACGACAACCGCCACAACTCCTGCCCTTCCTCAGCCTCAGCTACTCTTCGTCCTCGTTCTCCTACCGAAGTGCTCCTACGAGATATTCTGCGAGAACAGCCACGACGACAAGGACCAGAATCTTAGAAGCGTGATGATTCTGTAATGCGGGTGTGAACGATGGTGATGAAGGAAAGGACTAGGGACTGGTCCTGATGTTATTGATGACACTGTGGCAGCGCCCTGCACTACCTCCCATAGTGTAGGGTATTATACTTGTACTTATGAGGTATTGCAGGATTTTTGCCCCACAACAGTCATGATGGCAGTGATGATGGCATTGATGGTGATGCTGGTGCTGGTGCTCGTCATGCCGATGCTGGTGATGGTAGTGATGCTAGTGATGGTGGTAAGGCAGATGACGGCAATGACAGCGATGACATTGATGCGGACGATGATGATGATGATGATGACGATGGTGATGATGATGATAATGGCGTTGATGAGGATGGTGATGATGATGATGATGTACTTGGAGTAGCAGCAGCAGCAGCAGCAGCAGCAGCAGCAGCAGTCTGGTGTCAACAGTACACTTCGAAGGCGGTCGCGACCTTTTTTCTTGGTGGCACTGGCGAAGCTCAGGTTGGCCTCAAGGACAGGGCTTCGAGTTTGGAGTTTGGGGCTTTGCGGGCTAGGTTTAGGAAGCTTGTAGGGCTTGGGATTTGAGGTTCAGGATTCAGAACTGAGGGTTTAGGTTTAGGATTTTGGAGTTGGAGAGAGTGTGTGGTTTCGGGTGTTTCGGGTTCATGCTCTAGGGCTTCACAGGTGGGACTGCAGGTTTATGGTGATCAGGGATGTGGGGTTGCGGCTGGAGATGGAGGAAGATGCAAGGTTTGCACCGAGCAGGTTAGACAGGCAAGCAAGCATTGCAGGAACTAGGTACGCAGGTCGGCAGGCAGGCAGGCAGGCTAGGTAGCTCGACAGGTGACAGGAAGAACCGGCAAGAACACAGCTCACAAGAAGCCATTACAAACCGGCGGCCAAGACCAACCCTCGCAGCGGTGGTACCGATCCCCGAACCTAAACTTTCAACCCGACACCCTGTGTAAACCAGGTCTAAGCCCCCCAAGACATAACATTGAGGCAAGCGCGCCTTCACGCCGGGTGCCCGGAGTTGCTGGCAGAGCGCTGATTTCGGGGGTCTTCCTGAACCTGGACTTGATTGAGAAGCTTCGGCTTTGGGGGTCAGGGTTTCAGGCTTCAGTAGTAATCGTGGTTTGAGAAGTCGAGGTTGAGGATTCAAAAGTTGGTACAATGCAAGCGAAGGGCGAAGGATTGGCTTGGTAGGAATGTTCAGAAATCTTGGGCTGCGCACGACTGTTTCTACAGCTGAAGACAAGCGGATCCAAACCCCTCCGAAAAGCCCCCAAACCCCAAATCTCCAAAACCTCAACCCCAAATCTCCAGTCCTTGGGCCCCAAACACTGAACCCGACGCCCCAAGCTCGAGTCCTCTAAGAGCCGATGACCTCTTCCGCTCCGAGACCGCTTGCATCCTGGGCAGATGCAAGGCTGCCAAATCTTCATTGCGGGTGGAGCTCAAATGACATATATGTATATACATGTAGACATGCATATGCATACATTCATAAAGGTATATGAGCATATGTTTACGTTGTATATATATATATATATATATATATACATATATTTGTATGTGTATGCCTTGTGCACAGGCCTGAAACACGGGCTCTTTGATCGAGATATACATATACACGCACATACACAGAATCATAGACATAGACGAATATAGATGTACATACGCATGCGAATCGGCGTGAACCTACACATCACATATACTAGGCATAGACACCGACATATGCACAGACATAAGATAGACAGATGTACATGTACATACCCCTGCACATACGAATAGTTAAAACATATATATATATATATACACATACATACATACATACATACATATGTATATATATATATATATACAGATGTATATACATATACAAATACGTACTCATGCACATATGTATATATACATAAACGTATATGCACCTTTCCATTTATATATATATATATATATATATATATATGTGAGTGTGTACATATGTATGTATAATATAAAATAATATATATATATATATATATATATATATATATATGTGTGTGTATGCAATATTTCCACATTTATTGATATTCATAATGCCTATGCCAATGCTCAAATTTAAACCCAAACCTGTGACTCCCCTTCGAAGACTCTGCCAGCTCGAACCCCAAGGTCCTGGAAGAGATGGAACTGGCAGAGGCTCCCTACCGTCAGGGCCTGAGGCTCGGATTTCGGAGGACGTTTCGGGACAGGGTTTAGGGTTTAGGGTTCAGGGCTTCGGGCTGCGGGCTGAGGGCGCAGGGTTTTTATCACCTGAAAGGGTCCAGGGTTTCAGGGATGCGGGAGGCTGGGTTCAAATTTCGGCTAAAGGGCGAGCTTCGGTGCACTGTCGCCAACTGATGAAGATCTTTGCTGTCCATGTGTTCGTTTGACAGAAAGATCCTAAAAACCTGGGAAAATTGGATCAGGGCATAGCATAGCCGATTATGACATCAGTATTAACGGATATCAAACACAGCAGTTGAGCAACAGCAGGAAGAGCCAGAGAGGAGACAAGAGCACGAAACATGTTGCCGGCTTGAGGACTGCAGACTCAAGCTCACGAAATCTTGCGGCGAGAACATGTGGGATGCTCTGCAGTAGGCCCTTAAGTGAGTCCTTTCTCGACCTGGTCGAGAGCCAAGTCCTCAAACGCAGGCCCTGACTGCGAGCGCAGTGTCGAAAGCTGGAGTTGTTTCCGAATTCCTGCGATGACCCTTCACCCTGACCCCAAATCCTACACCCCAGCCCCTAGAGCCCTACAGCTCTGGGAGGGCACCTCCAGGCCACCCTGAAGGTCGCTCATACTGACCTCAGCTCTCGGATGTCGGGCCTTGGGCTTTGCTCGCCTTGCTCCTCGAAGCCAACTCGGGGGATATCATGTTAGTATAAACAGTATAAATATGACGGGGAACCCTTCCTAAATAATGTAGAATAAAATATAACTATAAGGAACCCCGAAGGAAGAATGTAGAATACAGTGAAGTTTGCAGCCTTACGGAATGACGTGAGTAAAAATGCCGGCGTCTAAGCCATGAAATTGCTCGTGCGTTTGCGACGACAGGCTGTGTCAAGGAAGGTCTAAGCATCTCTTCATTACATTTCAGATTTGTTGGTGCATGTTGCTGCTTGTGCGTCTTTGTGTTTATAAGGAGAGCATACTCGACCGCACCGGAGGCACAAGGGCTAGTCCAGGAGACTCACTTCAGCCAAGCGGCATAGATTCTTCCCTGTCAGGGAATTTTCGGAGCTTAAGACTTCAGGGGTTCAGCCTCAAGGAAGGGTCCGGGGGTTAAGAGCTTGGTAAAGAGTGCCCTGGGCAACAGACATCATCCTCGCCATCATCCCCACTCCAGGCCTGATGCTTGTCTGACATAGGATGCTCCACGGGCACCGTGGGTTGTATCCAGCCATACTTGCCTGAAAGGGACACCGAAACTCTGATTGTGCCAAGCCCTAGGCTCCTTGAAGTCGGGTCCGAAGGCCTACCGCCGAAACCCACAAAGCATCCTTCGGATTTTCCGCCGGGTCGCCTTTCCACTCCACAACCTCACCCGTCACGGGCTCGGTCGATATCCGTGCCCGCGAGAGGTTGGGGCCACTTGGCCACTTCATCTTGCTCTTTCCCTGGTTTAGACTTCGGGCTTTGCGGTTCTGAGTGGAGGGGTTTGGGTTTGAGACCGTTTCTGCCCTGTTCCTGGTCGCGTCAGGCTGTCAATGTGCATCTATGGTCGCTCTGGCTCCGGATTGAGCTGCTACGCTGCTTCTTGTCCTGGGACTGCGCGTTCCAAGTGCAGCATTCAGATGTCTCAGAAAAGCCACATGACATATCCAGAAGTAGCACATCATCGTTTGATATAGTAGGAAGTAAGCCGATATCCGCGGATCTGCGTGTATGTCATATTTGCATTTGTTTATGCCTGCATGTGTCTGTATATGTGTATGACTGTATGTGTATATGTATACGTATCTGTATGCGTATACATGTGCACACAAGTATTGATGCATATGCTGCCTTGGCTTGCGGTTTGCAAAGACCTCACTGCCGGCCTTATCTTTGCCCCAGCTGCCTTTCATGCCACCTTTGAGCCCTCCAAAGAATCCACCTGGCAAGCAACTATCCATCGGGCTGAAGGGCTTGGGTTTCAGAGCTTCGATGTGCTTCTCAGAGAATGCAATCATGTTCACTTCATATGCAAGGCATCACGTATAGAGACCGCAATAATGACTACACAATTACTTACGATGACGACTTGTGCTGGCGAGCTCCATCTAGAATCCCACGGTAGCTGCAAGCAAGCCCCCAGACGCACCGCGGACTGAAGCGGCAAGTCACCCATGCTGACTCTGACACACAAGTCTCTCAAAAGGCTGCGTGAACCGCTAGAACCAGAACCACTAGAGCTGACAAAAGCTAGCAATTGCAACGTGAATGCCAGCGCCTTTGGAGCCGCCCCAGCCCTTGCCTCCGGCAGGGCCGGACTTAATCTTATTATTATTATTATCATCATCATTCTTACTATACTATTAATATTAATATGGTTTTTATTATTTCAGGCTGCACGGCCACAGACTTGGAGGTTTGGGTTTCCAGATTTCAACGGGAATGTTCCTAGCAAGGACGATATCTGCTTTCGTCCTCATCAGCAGCAGCAGTAACGTAGTGACGCAGTACTGCCACTAGAAGTACCTAGAAGTACTAGCGTTAGGAGCTTGTTTCATCTTCCGCGGTCAAGGAAAGATGCCTACGGCTTGCTACATGACATCAAATCTGCCCTCTGAATTGCGATATCCCTACTCTGCTGCATCTGAGCTTCGTAGGCCACAAGCTCCTCCACCCGTCTCACTGACTTCCAATCGGTTACAACTGGAAAAACCCTCAAAAAAACAAAATACAAAATCACAGCAGAGGAAGCCGAATGGCCAAGTTGTGCTCAACTACATAGCCTACAGCAAGTTCTAGAACCTTGTACAAGTAGAACCCTACACGGCCTAGACGCGGACCTCAACTTCAGCCAAGTTGCCCCAGCCCTTGCCCCAGTTGCCCCCCCAGGAGCTGCCACCGCCCCAGCCTGCGAGGGCAAAAGGGTCTTTAGGAAAGCAACCCGTAATAATGATAAGAATCATCATCGTCACCATAAAAAAGTAATACTAATAATGACAAAAATATTGATAGTAGTAGTAATAACTTAATAATACGACAAACAATACTAGTTGTAACGATAACAACACAAATGGCAGTGCTAGTAAGCATCATGCTAGTAATCGAAGTCAACGTCCGGTGATTGACGTGGCTGCTCATCAGGCTTCCTTCCACTTCGGTATCCATGCACAGTCAACTTTAGTCACAAAAGCCACGGAGACAGACCCGCACCGTGGGCGCCCAGGCTCGTATGCAATCTCGCACCCTGTACCGCCTTTGCCCTCGGGCTTCATCTGATGCTGCTGAACGCCCTCCATGCTGGCCGCCCTTGTGGAGGGCCCTCCTGAGAAAAGCGACATAAGCATCCACAGGATTCGTCTGTCGTTAAACTGCTGTGTGCTTGCAAGATCATGTCACACTACCAGCCCTCTGGCCGACGATACTTCACTCGGCATGCTTCTTGCTTGAACAATGCGAGAACACACTCTCGGACTCTTGGCATCATCAGAATTTCTGCAACTGTGGCTCTAGTGCATGCAGCGATAACAGGGCAGAGGATGACGGTGGTGACGATGGCGATGATGCTAGAAGAAGGTACGGTGAATATGACAAATAAAACATGACTGATGACGATGCTGCTGATAATCATTGTGGCACTAGACATGATGACGACGGTTGCAGTATGTTGCGAAGTCCTGACGGAGGCGAGTGATGATGGAGACGATGTAAATGATAATAAAGATGAGGCTGCTGAAGATAAAGATGATGATAATGATGATAGTGATGATGATGATCCCGAAGGTCGTAGCGCTTGCCGCTCTCCTTTCGTAAGGCGGGCCCTCCGGAAGCTTCGAATGACAGATCCAAGCATCGGAGACCCACAGCTGCACCGACAACGCTACCACGTCCCTGCCACCCTTACCATGATGCCGATTCCGCCCACATATACCCAAACCTCAATCACGAAGCGCCGAATGTAAAGACCCCTCAAGGCCTGGACAGGAAAGCTGTCGCTTTTTTGTTACTTCCCGTCTCCTTATTACTTATGTCCAATACCAAACCAGGTTGCGGTCCTAATCACATTAATATAGCGGCCCTAATGATTCCAATAGGGTTGTGGGGTATACTATACGAAAACTATCTAAAATAAAGCCCCTATAGTAATCACCAACATGTTCGCGGCAATCTGACGACGGAATCTGAGCTCCGATCTGCCGGAAGCCACACCGCTTCTTGGAGGGCTGCCCTAAGCCCAAAACTCTTGAGCCAAATTTGTCGCATTTAGGGCTGTGGTGTCTGAAGGCTTTATGTCTGCTTGGGGTTTTTGGACTTTAGGACCATAACAAGTTCGGTAACTCTACAAATCGAGACCGCTGCAACGATGAGGAATGTTCAGTTTCGAGGGCGACGTGTTCCGATACATCGCACAGGTTTATCTAGCATACAATATGATAAAGAAACATCTGTATGTGATTTAAGATAACGTGTCCATGCTCAATTTTTCTAAAGAGGCGGCTGCCGCAGAAAATGGCTGGCTGTGGCAAACAGATTTGCTTGCCACTGCCAGGAAAAACGTCCGAACCGACTCAGGGGTCGTCAGCTCTATGCCACAGGCAACCATGCCTTTGTGCAATGGCTCCTGGGAGTTCTGCATGCACTGTACCATCTGCTCCTGCTTACGATGAAAAGCGGGAGCGAACACGAATCAAATGGCTCTTGCCTGACGTCAGCCGTTGCTGAGTTCTAGGATGCCGCTGGCATCTTCACATTCCTCTGCGACCGGATGTGCAAGGGGTGGCCGGGAGTGACGTCCTCGCATGGTGAAACCAAGCACTAATCACAAAAACAGCAAGCACATTTGGGGTCACATCCACGTTAAATGTATCGGCTGGAGACACATGGCTGGAATGCACAAATACAGCTTCAGTCGCTGTGACAGCATGATGCTGCATGCCATTGAATGCTGAATACAAGTGTGGAGCATGCAATGAAGCGGCATTTGCACAGTACCAAATACCGTTTGTCTTGTAGTGTACGCTAACAGCATATCAGCTTGTAAAGCGAATTGCTTAGTCGCACTTTGTACTAAACGGCATGCGAGCTGCTTGCCACTGGGATTCAGCCTGGTTTGACTAGGAGGATAGGGCCGAAGCCAGCAGTGAAACTCCCCGTTTAGCAGACTCATGAACAGAAGCCCTGATGCCTCTGCGACGTGTGCACGACTCTTACATCCTCAACACATCAGATGCCTAATGAACTATGAACCGCACGTAAACCCAGAAACCATTCTGTTTACCCTTCCCTACATCCCAAAACCTAAACTGTCTTAATGTAGGAACCTGATTAAGAAACCTTGGGCTTTTGGTAGGGTTGCTTATTATATGAATCGTGCTATTTTGTGGGGTTATAGGCCCAGGGTTTCTAAATCAATTTCCTACATTAAACTCTAAACCAAGGCACGAGCAATTCCACCGAGCTCAGCTTCGGCCGCTCGCCCTGCAATCGCAGAAAGTCCTGGCTGCACTCGGAAGTTAATATAGGGGCCTTAACAATTAGAATAGGGTTTTGGGGTATACGGTATACTATGCTATAATTACGGTAAGGAACCCCCAAAGTATTATAGGTAATGATTATTACGGGGCCTACATTAGCGTGCAGGTTCTCGTGCCCAGCTTCCGGACTTGTGGGCTTTGCGATGCAAGGGTTTTGATCAGGGTCTCGGGAAAAGCTCAGGGCGCTTGCATAGGTATAGCGTTGCAGAGTCTAGAGTTTATGTACTCTTGTTCAATGCCGTTCTCGCGCTCTCAGAGTTTGCGGCTTCAAGGTATGCAACAAGGAACCGCTGAATATGCAAAGATCAAAGGGCTTCGGGCATGCCAACGGTTTTCCTGTAACCCCAAGCACTTCGCACTTACGTTGCTACTGATCTAAAATCGAGAACGAAAGCCCCGCATGTGTCATTTCCTACAACGTTGCATCGAAATCTCTCCTGGACTCCACCCTCCTTCTGCAGGCTGTCTGCTAGGACACCTGGATCCAAGCACTGTGGCCAAGCAAGACCGCATGACTGTTGCCACTGTTGACACGTCTGCACATGCACCTGATATCCTCAGATCCACGTGGCGGTGAGATACTGGACATGTCTTACCACATTCGACCCGACTCCAATCGCACCTTCGGCATCGAGCTCACCGTTTCGCAGCGGCAGGAGATATCTCGGAACCGGAGTCCTAGCTTGGCATCGGAAGCTCGGAGAGGAAGAGCTCTAGGCCCTAGGCTTTTTACACCACTCTTTAACTGAATGAGCTAAAGAAGTAGGTTTATATATCAGGGCTGCAGCTCGGAGCCTCAACGAAGGGCATAGAAGCCCGACGTCGTCGTCGCCAGTTTTTTACTTCTTGGTACAGCCAGCTCCTGATTGCTCTTCAAGCTCCGGTTCATGTTCCATCCTACGCCATCACCACGCTGTAGTACAGTGCTAGTACACGAGGTATATGGTATACAGGGCCCTGATGAGACCATGCAGGAGAGGCCCAATAGGTTCCAATCCCAGCGTCAGCGCTTCCAGCGTGTTGGCGGCCTCTTCCACGCCGTTCACTAACCTGACAACAAGGCGGAGAATGTTGACCAAAGAGCTGCAAAGTCGGGGCGATGCCTGTAGCCGGAGATGACCTGCGATGTCAGCGGCAGAATCAGTGCATCCACGCTCTGCGCAGGAGGAGCCGGGAGTCGCTGAAAGGACCTCGGCTTCGTCCAGTGCCCATCGCAGGTTCACGACGCAAGGCTTCGGGAGCGCATCCGAGCTTCAAGAAAAGGCCCTTCTGCCATCAAAATTTCCCGAAGCTGTCGAAGGAAAGGAGGAAAAAAACGGAGAATCTTCTCCGGGGCTCTGGCGTGCCAAGTGCCGGGCCGAGAAAGTTGCCATGAGGCTCCAGGCCTCGCCGCAGCTGAAGCTTTGGGACCCAGGCCTTAAAGGTATTAGGGTATTGAGGTATTCGGGTATTAAGGCCTTAAGGGTATTAGGGTATTGAGGTTTTAGGGTATTAAGGCATTAAGGGTCTTAGGGGATTGGATCGGTTGAGGTCTTGTTTTGTTCACACCTCTTTTCCTCCTGCCTGCAGTTGGACTGCCGATTCGGCTGAGGCAGAGGGCCGGGGACGGCTGCTGAAAGGGATTCACCACCTTACCAGAAATCTTAGGGTTTAGGGTTTAGGCGATGGGGCCCCGGGCTTTGGTCCAGGATCAGGGTCCCGGGGTTTACGAGTATCGCAGCATCGATTGTTGGGTTGGTGGTCGACGCAGGAGGAAAACCGGCTCACCCTTCAGCTTATCCACGCAGAGGCCTACAGAGAGTCCACCGGGCCGCGTGTCGGTAAACACCTCAGGCAGCAAATCGAAGTCAGGACCATCTTGCAACATCGCATCGCTCAGGCAGACAAACATGAGATCTCACTTTCGCCACAGCCGAGCCCCACACATATCCGTTTTCAGGATCCTTGCAAACATGGTCTTTGGCTCAGTGAGTTTGCAGATCGCTAGAATCGGGCACGACAGCCATTGTGTAGAAGCTGGGCACGGGAACTCTGTATGAACTTGAAGCAATGCCTACAAACCCACGTCGTCTACGAACAAGCGGTCCCTCGATTCACCTAGTTTTGGCTTGAAGATAGGCAGACACATAGACAGACAGACAGATAGACACATGCACAGATGTACGAGTATAAACGTGTATTGAAATACAGACATATTATATACGTGTCACAAACAGGCAGCGTCTAAATACCTCACATAAACACATATATACATATACACATATAGACATACCTATATATATATATACACTTTTCATATACATCTCCATATACACTTGCATAGAGATATGGATATACATATAGATTCCTTGTACGTACACATACAAATATATACATATACCTACATATATATATATATATATACATATGCACATACATGTATGCATCTGTGTTTGCGTGCGCATGCATGCGCATGCATGAATGAATGAATGAATGAATGAATGAATGAAATGAAATGAAATGAAATGAAATGAAATGAAATGAAATGAAATGGAATGGAATGAATGAATGAATGAATGAATGCATGAATGACTGGGATGGAAAGGGAAGGAAAGGAAGAAAGGAAGAAAGGAATGAATGAATGAATACACGCCAGGATTGTGCGCGTGTACGCATGCATGTACGTATGTATGTATGTACGTACGTAGGCACGTGTACGTAGGCATGCAGGGTGCGTACATGCATGTATGTACACTGTGCACTTTTTGTATGTGTGCTAATGTTCATCTAGTTTTCTTCTGTTTAGATGCATACAGATATCTACGTATCTACGTATGACTACGGAGTAGAGAGAGAGACGGAGAGAGAGAGAGAGAAGAGAGAGAGAGAGAGAGAGACAGAGAGACAGAGAGACAGAGAGACAGAGAGACAGAGAGACAGAGAGACAGAGAGACAGAGAGACAGAGAGACAGAGAGACAGAGAGACAGAAACAAGCGAAGCAGGAAGGAAGAAAAACAAGAAAGCAAGATATATATACGCTGAGATACCTGTACATTTATCACCCATGCCCCTGCCTGCCACGGCGGCCCAACCACACTTCCGGGCACTGCTGCGAGCCGCAGGGAGCCCCGGGAGAGAGACCTTTTGCCCAGCAACCACAACAGCGAAACGGGAATTGATCATGGAAGTGAAAGGAGGCTCCCAACAACAACAAAACTCTATACGGGTCTTCCCCAGACAAGGGTTCTTTTTTGCAGGGCTCTTTGCTCACGAGCCGAACCCCTTGCAACATGCTACTCTTGCCGATGACCCCCGACATCCATACTGCATAAGTTGATTGAGCGCTGTATTTAGATAGTGAGTGCTTTTTGCCGGCTGCGTACAGCTAACTAAATTTCTTTCCTGCGACAACTCCGCTGAATCCGAGCTATGCAGACCTCTCCACTGCCAACTACTAGCACCAGGCTCGGGAACCTTTGCTTTACCCAGACGTCAGCAAGCGGGAGAATGCAAAACGTGTGGAACATCATGGGAAACTTCTTGCTGCCAGGCGCTCGTCCGGCCGCAAAACGGAAACATCTTCAGGGCCACGGCATGTTCAAGTAAGCTCCCTAAACGTGCGTTGCGGAGGCATGCATATATGTCGAAAGCTCGCCCTCGTCACTCCGGTACTTCAGCTTCAACTTAGTGCGTCTCTCTACCCCATGCGGGTTGAACAGACAAGAAATACATCCTCAATACCTAAGCCCAATGCCTACTTTGTCTCCGGGCCTCGGAAGCCCATGGCCCTCACCACGGAGGCAGCGCTGGGGTTGGCGATGATGGGCATCCTGGCTGGCTGGACTCCCAGCATTTCCTTTGAAACCGACATCCTTCTCAGAAGCGTTCTGAACTTTTCTGTCGTCGCTTGGTGGGACCATGCTTCCTACGACGATTCTTACACTTCAAGAGGGATGATGCTTGCAGGACTAGAGACACTTCTTTGCATCCTGAATCAGGCTTCTGTAATCCTAACGAAACGAGATCCCTTATTGCCAGACCCTAAGCCCGACCTCAACTCAAAGCTGCGCCTCCGGTCCACCCGCTCCAAAGTCGGCCGATGCGTGTGGTCGTCCAGGCCTTGCGTCAGCCTTGGTGTAAGGCTTATGTAGTACAAGGGCCTTGGTAGTATACTATGGCATGACTTAGATGGGGAAAACAGGCATAATCGGAGTTCAGCCAGAAGTTGCTATTTTAAGTATGCAGCATGGCCACAGGGGCATTTGCCGACGCCAGGCTTCAGGTTTGCAAATTAGGCTAGGTGAAATCTAGGCTGAAGGATCCACTGACCCTGCCTTTGCCAAGCCGCGCCGACGCTATGTCCAGACATAGATATTACGCATAATATCTCTCTGTATATATATATATATATATGGATGTATACCTTCATGGCACTGTATGGCATCGCAACACTCTACTTCCATGCACGGTCCACTGATGGGCTGCGAGAGCTCTAACAGCTAGATGCCCTGCACAGACAGTCGCCCTCTGGGAACGGGGAAACTTGTACGGCAATGCATCAGCTCTCGAATGAAGGACCTACATCCGAATCAGCTAGGGCTCCAACACGATGGCATCAAAGCTGTCCGCAACGTCCTGGCACGGGCTGTGCTTCAGATCTCCACAAAACTGGCATCGGGCTTTGATACGTCCCGGAGTGCAACGGCAACCGCAAATAACTGCCTCTGCATCGGCCCGGTTTCTACAGAAGGGCCCCTTCTTTCCTTTTGCCCAGACCAACCAAACAGCCTGAAAAGCCCTTGGCTGGTTCAGGGACAAGTCTCCAACTACACTGAGGACGCTTCAAACATCGTAACTTTCAATGGTGTTCTGCTATACTCCCGTGCCCATGTTCGTCCCATGCCCATTTCAGGTGCAGAGGCACCAAAAATTTCAGGCTAGGATTGCACAAAACCCAAGACCTCCCTCCCTAAATCCCCTCGAAACAAGAAGCATAGTAAAACCCCCGGGTTAAAGTCTCTGAAGCCCGAAGCAACTTTACATAAAGCCCTGAAGCCTGAGCCTCAAACCCTAAACTTAGTTAGCAGAACCCTTGCCCGTTTTGGGGCCTGCCACTAACCCACCCAATGAAAACAGAAGAACGCTGATTTAATTGAAATACAATTGAATCAATGTTTTTGTATTGTAGTTATATGAGCAACCACGAATTTGTTAATGATGTGTATTACGATCGTGCGGGATTTGGGAGCAGACAGAGGACATTAAAAGAAGCACAGGAGAAGGATACAAGTATAACTATTGACGACGTTAATGAGCTTTTCAAGAAGAGCGTGGAGGCAAAAACAACACCTGTGGGACAGAACAGTCTTGTAGCACCACATTCGGCATACGAGGTTTTTTAGAAATGATTTGGAAGGTTGGTATGATCATGATAGATGTCTTTGATAAGTTTATGCACGTTGTGCCGTTAAAGGGCAAGACGGAGGAAGATCTGGCTTCGGGAAGGATTGAGTGTTTACATAATATGGAAAAAAGCTTAAAATACTCTATACTGACGATGAAGGTGCTCTATCTAAGGACCTGTTCAAACATATTTAAAGGAACAGAATAAGCCCAAGACCCTAAACCCCAAGCCCTAAGCCCTGAGCGCTCGCTGCCTCGGGCTTTGGGAGGGCTTCCGCCCGGGAGCGGCCACAGAAGGCCCAGCGCTGGCCGAAGAAGACCTGGGGCTTCCGGGTATCCGGGAGCGAAGAAAGGGGACCTCTTTGTAGAAATCTATATAACCCTTAAAGGATACTATAGGGTTCTATAGTAGGGTGCTCTGTAAAGGAACCCTTCTAGGAACTGCTGAAGGAACCCGTAGAGTTTTGGGTTTAGGGGTTGAGGGGTGTTGGGTTTGGGAGTTTGGGCTCAAGCGCTTTTGGGTTTAAGGGTTGCTTGATTCCAAACCCCAAAAGCCCTCACACTCCAAGGTACCAAAGCTCAAAACCCAGTAGGGGGGAGAAAAAGCTTCAGAAGATAGGAGACCCTAGCACACTTCTTATAGAATTAGACCCCAAGTCAGCATCCGCAGAAATGTCGACACGGACGGATTGCTGGCCCAGCTGCGAGGCTTCCCACGAGCAGTGGATCTATCAGCAGGCGCTGCTCGCCAATTTCCTGATGGCTTTGAGCTGATGCTGTGCTCTGAGGTATTACGCTTCCGTGCTCTAGATGTCAGAGTAGACTGCACACGCTGATACATCTCTGCCCTGTAATGCTTTAGCTGCTGCGGAGGGAATGCAGATGCGAAGCCAATCAATGCAGCTTTCCGCTTGGCATTGCAGAGCCTTCGAAAGAGGGGAGTTGAATTCAAAACAGAACCCCTGGTAGGGACCCAAACCGGTAGGATCCGTAGTCCATTCAAGAAGCTCGCCTTTGCTTTTGCTGCCAAGGCTCCAGGCTCATCGAATTTACTCCGAAGTATGTGAGGACAGGGCTGACCCCTGGGCGCGCATGCACGTTGAGGTGGGAACTGCGTACGGCGGCTGACGGCCTTTTCAAGCCGTCCTCTGCTAAATCCGAAAAATATCCCATCTTCCCCTGGAGTCTGAACCTTGTAGCAACCCTTAAAAAAGTAAACCCGCAGTGACCCTTACAATAGCTCCCGTAATCACCCGAATAGCAACCAGTATAGTCTAACAGTATAACCCTTCTAGTACCCTCTAATAGGAGAACCCTAACACGCCCCAGCAATAGCCCCCACCCTTGTCTGACTGGGTTGAAAGCTGATAGAATAGGATTCTGGTGTATATAATCATATACTATAATAAAACCAAAACATAACATGATATTTTACTTATCCTAAGGTACCCAAAAACAGTGTTGCTACTTTACTACTATACTAATGACATTATCGTGTAAAGCTCTTAAACGTATAGCACGGAGCCATACGGAACCTGAAAACAATCTTATACCTTATCTATTTTACTCACAATAGTAAGGAACCTAAAAGCAGGTCTGCTGCGGTTGATGATATAAATGCTGCATTATCTTAAGGACCCTAAACTATGGGAATTATGGTATATTCCTTTTTATGGGCAATGCAGGATTTATATCATCAACCGTAAGTCTTTCCGCTTCCAAAACGGCCTTCGCACAGCTCCGGCCCCGGGGTCTCCGCGGCCGCGCGCGGCGCCCGGGGAGATCGACCTCGGAAGACCGGGCTTAAAGGTAAAATTTGGGTTTAGGGTTCGGGGTTTGGCGTTTTAGGGAATTAGGGTTCGGGGTTTGGGGTTTTAGGGAACTAAGAGTTGAGGGTTGAGGGTTGAGGGTTTAGGGTTTAAGGGTTTAGGGTTTCAGGGTTTTTAGGGGTTTAAGGGTTTGGGGGTTTAAGGGCTCAGGGGTTTAGGGGTTTAGGGTTTAAGGGTTTTTAGGGGTTAAGGGTTTGGTTAGGAGCTAGGAGGGTTGAGGGTTCAGTCCTAAAAGACAAGACTACTACCATAGCAACAACAAGGGAGTCCACCAAGCGGCTCTTCCCTGAAGGCGCAGAAACGAAGCCTGCGAAGTGGCCTGAGAAAGCACAGTTCTTGCATCAAGCACCTGCGCCAGCCGTAAGCCCAGCAAGGAAGAAGGCTTTGATCATGACGGTCATCAAGTCGTGCACACGCAAGAACAAGAGTCTCAGTCGGAATATCTGAGGCCGACGGCCCAAGCCAAGCGATGCCAGGAGCAAGCCCAGCCTGGTCAATGCGGATATCTAGAGAAATGGCCCCAAAACTGGTTCAGTCTTCGATTAATCGCAGGCTGCACTTGCAAAGCCCGAACCGCACCCAGCGTGCCCGACAGAAGACCGAGTCCGCTTGCAAGGAGCCATTGCGAAGCTCGAGAAAAGCCTGGAGGCTTTGAGGTCAAGGCTCCGCGAGTTTATGAAGCTCAAGGTAGATGTTTGGAAAGATGGCAAGCTTTAAGATCACTTCTGAAAGCTTGGAGTTCATGGTCTGGTTGGGGAAAAGTCTGCAGGGACCAAGCTTGGGTCTAGTAAGAGTAATACTAATAATACGACTAACAGTAATAAGACTAATCATAGTCATATTAATTCTAGTAATAATAGTAATAGTAATCATAGTAATAGTAATAGTAATAATAGTAATAGTAATACTAGTAATAGTAATAATAGCAATTGTAATAATAGTAATAGTAGTAATAATAGTCATAGTAGTGATAGTAACACTAGTAACTCTAGAGCAGACTTTTGGGCCATATGGCTGATTGCGAGCGTCAACTCCAGCGTCGCCCTTGCTTTACGTACATGAGCGCGAGCAGGACCTTCCGCTTTCCGGGCTTTGCGCTTTCGGGGGGAAAGGGACCAACTGCCGACATGGTAGTACGACTACTAGTATTAAGATTAACATCATAACTATTAGTAGTATTATTAGTATTAGTATTATATGAGAAAGTGAAGTTGGTTGAAATACATCAAGAGGGCTGCACAATGAAAGTCTGCTGTGGCTGCTGTGGCAAGTGGAGCCCCTGCGCTGCACGTGATCAGACTTCCGAGCCTGGCAGGGCGTTTTGGCATTCAGCTCAAAGACTTCAGCGCCTCGTTTTCGCGCACTTCCTACGTGCGAGCGGGTCCTTCAGAATTGACTCGAGGTGAACACAGCACGCAAAAAAGGCTGTTTTGATGCTGGCTTGGAGAAGTGCTTCTTCTCGCAGTGCTCTGCGCAGACCGGATCTCCAAGCGCACGAAGTCGTCCTCCTGCTGACATTTCATGGTCATCCGCAGACGACTCCTACAACTCTGGCAACACACTGCTGGACGGCGCAAGTAGAGTGATGAAAGGCCTGAGGAAAAAGCTTCGTTTCAGAAGTCATTCGATATTTTGATCGTGTCCGCCGGTGGAAACAGAACCGGAGCAAGCTGATGCGGAGAGCCTCGATATTGCTGGCCGCTCAAGCCACCTTGACCTGTCTCAAGTCCTAACTTCCAGCTCTGAGATGCAGAGTTCCGAAGTGGTTTGCAAGCACCCCCCCCTAGACTCTAAACCCTAAACCCTATCTAGTTTCATAAACTCATACAGGCGATGCCTCTGCCTCTGACTCCCAACCCCAATACAAGTACCCGAACTGGGGTTTTAAGTAGATATAAGTTGACCTACCCTATTCATATAACCCTAGTTCCTAAGTCCCATGAAATCAAAGCGTGACGGAAGGGCGCCGCCGATGAAGGTCAGCTCGGACACCACGGGCTGCGGCCGGGACCAAGGCAGGAGCCCCAGGAGTTTCCGAAAAGAGGGGGGACCCTTAAAGGAACCCTTATAGATCCCTTAAAGGAACCTCTATAGATCCTTTAAAGGAACCCTTATAGATCCCTTAAAGGAACCTCTATAGAATCTTTAAAGGAACCCTTATAGATCCCTTTAAGGACCCTTATAGGGAACTCCAGAAAGTTGGAATATGGTTTCAGGGTAGGATACCCCTATAATATACCATAGAAGGGTTTAGGATAATCATATTCCAACTTTCTGGCTTTTACTTTAAAGGAACCTTTATAGATCCCTTAAAGGAACCCTTATAGATTCCAACCCTTTTACAGATCCCTGAAAGGAAGCCTTATAGATCCCCAATATGGTAGCTTGAATGATATGGGAGGTTTCCGAAAATAGAGGACCCGAATACAGTACCCAAAATAGCAGGATCCTTATTATAAGGACGCCAAAAAGGAAGAGATCCCTGTTTTCGGAAACTCCCGTATGTGTGCATGCACGGGAGGGGGCAGGCATGCATGCACCTTTTTATAAATGCATGCACAGTTGCACTTACATAAGTAGAGTCAGCCAAGTGCAGTACGCTTGCTCGTTCTGGGTTCAACCGACAGTGCACACTCGTGGCACTCCCTCAATGAGCTGTGGAAGTGGCGCAGCATCTGCCTGAGCCTCCTCCCAGCGCCCAAGCCAGCAGCCTGGCTGAGACTAAGGGACCTTACAAAAAGGAAACAACACCTGCAGGAGCAACGACAACAACAAGCATGTTCATAATGTGCACCAATTAGGGCGACGGCATATGCGTGTGCGGATACAAAGTGTGTGATGGCACAGAACAGCTCCGAAGCACAGGACGACGTGCGTGGGATGACTATGACTACGCAAGCAACGGGGTATAGTACAGTGGGGTTGCACAAGCTTTAGCAGATAACGGGAAAGATGCCAGAAAAATGATGGAAGATCTTCTCAACTCTGACAAAGGCTGCGGACAGATGCTGCGACCCCCGAAGTCGCTCCATTCTGGCCCTCTAGCTGCGCCATTTCAGAAAGCGGCAGGGTATATCGGGGTACACAGCCCGAGACCTTGCCCTAAACCCTAAACCCTGATAAATCCTAAACCCTGATAAATCCTAAACCCTGATAAATCCTAAACCCTGATAAATCCTAAACCCTGATAAATCCTGATGATTGGCACCTTGATCGACCTGGTACTGGAACAGGGAGCACTCAGCACCTGCCATGCTTTTGGCGATCGAATGTAGGGGCCTTTAGAGTTTTCAACAGTGTTTTGGGGGCTTCTTTTTTGACGATAGTTCAATATCCCCCAAACCATGTTCTAACTATTAAGGCCCCCATATTAGACTGCATCAGTCCTTGGCGAAGCACTATGAGGGACCTACAGGATCTGGAAAGCGATGAGCCATATCACATATCCACTGAGAAGAAGTACTACGATTCCATCCTCAATTCACTTTGAAAGCTTTTCAAGGAACCCATGGTGCAGAAGCTGTCGCCCCAGCCCATGCGCAAAGTTGAAAGCCAGAGATATGTACACCTGCATGCCTGTGCAGTGCAAGCGCACTGTGCATGCATGAGATCTCCATGAAACCTAAAACCTTCACAAAAACTAGAGATCATGGAGCACTTCTGGGAAACTGCAACAAATCCAAAAACTATTTACATACTGCCTCTTGAAACCCGAACACCTTGGGCGGGCCTGAGCGACAGCAGGCTTCCACCTGACCAGCGCATCCGTGCAAACAGGAGGAGTTTTTGACGTTCTAACCCTACTCCCTCCACCCGACACTTAGTACGTGGGTTGTAGGTTTGCATTAAGCACCTGTGAAATTCTGCGAGCCTCAAATGCTCATTGCACGTGCTATGCCTGGATTGCTCGTAGCACTTGTCATGCTGATAGTTTGATTCTAGATGGCCTGGTTGCACCAGGAATGTCCGATCAGAGACCCATGCCAAGTTGCTTCAACAGGCAAACCTCCCGGAGATAGAACACATGCTGACCCTTGCGACGGTGCGCAGCACAAATACATTGCCGGGGGGAAGTTGTTCGCCAACTTTGTGGCTATCAACGATCGGATTGGCTATGTAGCCTCACTGGCAAGCAGCTTTACCGATCTGGACTTGGCAGAATGCAGCCTCAAGACAAACCTCTTACTCGCGATGTCAAGCCCGAACAGTGCCAGATTCCGAACAGCCCCAGATTGAGATCACTCTTATTTCCTGGGCAGCGCACACACTCGTCCACGCTTCGTGCTGGTGGCCAATGGCCTGCGAACGGAGCATCACAGTGCAGGCGCATTTTCCTTCAATTGCCGTGAGTCTGCTGTTTCTGATGACTCCGCAAGTCAGTTGTTCTGCTTCAATCCTGGTTTATGTTCTCTTCTTTTGCGCTCTTTGGGTTATTGTCAAGTGAAAGAAAGAGAAACGCTTCGAATAACCCAAAGAAGCAAAATAAAGCACAAAAAGAAGCGAAAAATGAGGGAAAAGTGAGCTAATTTCGTGTTTCACTTCCTTCATGACAAATTACTTCACTTCGAGTCATTCATTCTTTCATGTCCTGTGTTCTACTTTGTGCTTATTTAGTTGAACTACAGGTAACGTAATGGAAAACGAGGCAGGCTTTAATTCAACCAAACAAAGCACATAGAGAACGCAGGCCATTCACTACTTTCCTTCTCTTTACTTTGTTACACTGTTAGTAGGAAATGTTTCCTAGCTTGGCTGGCTTTGGCGACGGCGCCTTGATCCTAACTGGCATGGAATGCTCGACATGATCGGACGGACTACGATCCGCACCAGAACGCATCGCCAGATAGCCCCAAATCATTCGTCCGGAAGACTCTAAGAAGGCTTTGCCACGACCTCAAAACTCCTTCTATGCTTCCCTTTCAGGCTCCCACTCAGCCCATAGAACTGGGCACTGGTCGGCGACCTCGGGGCGAGAGAGAGAGAGAGAGAGAGAGATCGCTGGAGACAGAGAGAGACAGACAGACGCACGGACGGGACGGACGAGTACACAGATGACAATATAGTAGACGACGCAGGCCTAGTTGTGGGCACAGATGCATGCATGCTCATATTTTGGTATTCAGTGATGTGAGTACACGCTATGTTGTGATGCGTTGCTCATGCTATGTTGCGATCTCGTGTTGAGCTGTGCTATGCTATGACATATTTTGCTATGCTGCGCTATGCTCTGCTCTGCTCTGCTCTGCCGGGCTGGGCTGGGCTGCGGTACGCTACGTCCGGTGTGTTGCACTATATGCCATGTTTTGTTGTGCTGCGGTGCTTTGCTATGCTATGTCATGCCGCGCTACGCTATGCTATGCTCGGGGTGAAGAGCTTACAGCGCGTGCACCCAATCTCGGCACGAGACCGGGGGGTCAAGAATCCTACAATCCTAAAATAGCATGCACCGGCAGCAATCAAGACTATCGCCGCAGCCGCAATTTTCAGCCTTTTTCTTTCGACTGCTGCTGTGATCTTTCCCGTCTTTGCGAATGTCATGTCTCCTCCCAACTTCAGGACATGTTCAGCCAACCTGAATAGACGTCCGCCATGCTCCCACATCCCAAACCACTAAGCTGGAACTGATCCTCGAAAGTCGACCTCATCTCCCTCAATCCCAGACACTGCACCCTGCACTATAGTGGCCTTCATAGTTAGAATAATGAATAGGGTTTTGGGGCCCGTTATACTGGAAATATTACAAGGAACCCCAAATTGTTTAAGCCCCTACAGTAGCCATAAATCGACCGAAACCCTGGACCCGTACTAGTAGCGAAGAAAATGCACAAGCCTCCGGCCATTCACAGCGAGGTGCAGGACCCATGGCCGCGGCAAGGCACCTAAAACCAAACTGCCAGCTTGCTCCATGTACTTTCGAGAGTTTTATGTTTAAGCACCCTTGTGTTAATAGGGGGTTTGGGTTTTGGGTTTAGGTTTAGGGTTCAGGGTGTGAGGAGTCGCGAAAGATGTGTGCTTGGAATCTCATTCGGCGCTGGTATTCATAGCTCCGGCTTCGGCAGACATCATCTGTTGCAATCCTGTAATTACAGGAACCTTCATCTACTTGTTGTTGAGGCCGCCCTTTAAAGCCCTATTGAGCTCCAGGAGCTGACCGAAACCCTTGGAAAAGAATGTCCCCTTCTACGCGTCTTAGGAAATTCACAGGTGTTCCGCCACGGCTCAGAAGAGTGCACTCATGGCTGTTACATGGTTGTGTAAAGTTTGCACCCACTTGCAAGCCCGAAACCCTAAACCCTAAACTCTAAACCCTAAACGGAACACCAGTCTGAGAACTCCACGAAGAGAGGTTGCCAAGCTGATCTGACGTCCAGAAGGCCTGGCCAGCTCGAGCATCACGGCGAGTTTCCGAAAATAGGAGACCCTGATATGAATACTAGTATTAGTACTAATATTGGTATTAGTATTAATGTACTTAATATTGATATAGTACCCCAGATAGTAGGATCCTTATTAATAGGACTCCAGAATACAGTACCCCTAATTTTGGAAAAAACATATCTCCACGCTCGGCTGCTCCCTGCATAAAAAGAGGGCCCTCATAGTGACGTCCCTCTTGAAATTTTTTTCGCACCTTGGCCTCTGTGTTTGGTGCGCTCAGGCGAACCTGTAGCAGGTCACGTGGAGTCCGTCATGACTGGCCGTGCAGCCACTCACACAAGTGCCTACGCTCAGAGCCAGGATACCAACGCGAAAGACAACGTCGTAGTGACACCACGACAGTGACTCACAACGAAGTACTCCTGAACAACCATCCTCTACGACGGACCTGTCATGCGCAGATGTGACAGGTCCAGGACGTGCGCGTCTCCTACCATCAACTCCCAGGTACAGTTGCACTAAACTGCACCCCCAAACCCTGTTCTAATCAATCTCATCATGAGGGCACCGTGACAGCGAAACCAAAATATACCCCAACACCCTCCTCCAATCATGAAGGCCCCTGCCCTAAACCCCAAACCCCAAACCCCTAAACCCTACATCACGGCTCGCTCGCAGGGAGCCTCAGCCTGACGAGCTAGGGAGGCTGCACTCGGCGCCTCGGAGGCACTGGTCTAAGGTCTTAGGACCAGGGCTTAGGGATTAGGGTTAAGGGATGAGGGGTTTAAGGTTTAGGGTTTAGGGATATGGGATGAGGGATGAGGGGTTTAGGGTTTTCGGGTTAGGGTTTTTAGGGGTTTAGGGCTGATAGGGCTTGTAAGGTTCATTCACGGCTTGTAGGGGCTTTCAACGTTCGTTTAGGTTGTACTGAGCTTATTCGGTCTGTGGGGCATAAACTGCATTGAAGGTTTTTATAGGGTTTAGGGTTTGGCAGAGGGTCCCCCGCATCTGTCGTCAGGATCACTGCAGTAGCAGCAGCCGTCGTAGCAATCGAAGAAAACTACACCGGCTTGAGATCTTGGACAGTATACTTGATGCTGGCTCGGGCTTCGGAGGATCAGCATGCATATCAACAGCTCAGTCATCTTTTTCTCCATAGAAACTGCAAAGGTGCTTGGAGGTGAAGCACGCCGGTCACAGAGTTCGGAGCACGCGTGGCGTCGGGTTGATGCATCAAAGGGCTAGGAGCCTTTCTGTTCCCTTCTTCCCGTATCTTATCGACAGGAACTCCACAGGATCGCTCTGAAATGCCATGCTGCGAAGAATTGCTTGCTCCCCAAGAGCTCTACCGCTGAGAAGTTGGTACTGGTACCAAAATGGAAACCATCAGTCCTCATATGTTTTTAAAAGTTGCGAATCTGGGAATCCTGCGGATTGAGACCCTCCACAACTAGATCCATGTGTTGACCTCCCGCGTAGCCGCGTAGTGGGCCCAAGTGAAGCAAATCTTGGCGCCTAGAGCTGCCAATGCCATGGTGACTACGGCGGGCGGCGTATGCTCGCATTCAGATTCCGACTTCAAGGACAGATGAGACCACAGACTGACCCAGCACTCCTAAGGCCCTATAAGTCATCTGCATGGCACCGGCATTGCTCGATTGCACCCAGATTCAGCTCCCTGCTTGTGCCCTTCGCACGGAACATGATCACCATCACGGTGCTCGTGGCAGAGAGCTGCAGCGAGCCCAGCTGGGTTGAAGCACAGATCTTCCTAATTCGGTCCTGATTCACTATCGTGGATAGGGTTTAGGGTTTAGGGTCCTATCCACTATCGTGGATTATCCTGAATAGCCCCTGCAACTTTACAGGGTGTAACTTGCAGGCACAACGGCAAGGGCTCAGGCGTATGCTGCGGTCGACTCTACCCATCTACAAGTTTCGCCCCACCTTTCCTCTGGCTGTGCCGGGCAAAACCTAAAACTCCAGATCCCAAATCCCCAAACCCCGAACCAATCACCTTCCGCCCTCGAACTCGACGGGGCCTCTTGGCAGAAATCTAAGGCGTATCTGAACTTCTGAACAACAGCACAAGACAACCAGAAAATTAACAAGCATACTCCATACTGTTTGAATGCACTCATGGCCAGAGTTGCCCGCAGACGTGGCTTTACAGTAGGCATGAGACTACGAATCTTGTTGTAGTCGTTGTAGCAGTAGCACTAGCAGTGTCAGCAGCAGTAGCACTGGCACCAGCACTAGCAGAAGCACTCGCAGTAGCAGTTGCAGTGGTAATGGCAGTGCCAGCAGCAGTGTGGTGCTAGTGCTAGTAGTAGTGATAGTAGCAGCAGCTGTTGCTGATCTCGAGGCCGGCATCTGCCGCCTTTATTGCTTCTCCGCACGGTACTGTAACAAGAGCCTTAACCTTAGCGATACTGAAGACTTTTTGACGACCAACCTCCTAGGTCCCCTTTCAATGCTCTGCAGCCCCCATGTTCTGTTTCGGTCAGGAGCTACCGGCTCTCAGTCGGGCACCACGGCGCCTGCCGGTTGCAGACTTAAGCCTCTCTCTTAATCCCTTATTGCTTCAACGGCAGCTGCGATCGTTGTCATGTGTGATTGTCGTGATCGGAGTACTTGCCGTGCAAAGCCCATGCCCTGTTCCAAAGACATGCCTGCTCAGTAGCCGTCGTCGGCCGCCCCACGAGCGTAGATGCGACGGTCGTCAGCTCGGTCTCTGTCCTGAGCCAGCGAGACGGAAGCGGCCATGCCTGAACCTTCTTCGAGGATCGCGAGACACAAACGCCCAGTACTGGTTTCAAGTTGGACTTGATCTGTCATATGCAGCCGACCCTACTATTTTGTCTCACTTGTGACTTCTATTTTGTCTCGCTTGTGGCTTTACACTTTCTGACCTTGAGAAACCCTGCAAATCCATGGGTTTTGGACTCCCTCCCTCCCTCCACATCCTGATACCAAACAAGCCGAAACAGGCGGGCGAGCCACTTTGGTCATTGGTCAGATGGATGTTGAAGAACTAGCATCACTACGAACTACCATTACCACCATTACTACAAGTGGGACCGCTACTGCTGATTACTTCTGCCCCTGCTGCTACTACTACTACTACGACGACGACCACCACGACGACGACACCAACGACGACGACGGCACTGGTGGCGGTGGTGGTAGTAGTAGTAGTAGTAGTAGTAGTAGTAGTGGTAGTAGTGGGTAGTAGTGGTAGTAGTGGTAGTAGTGGTAGTAGTGGTAGTAGTGGTAGTTGCAGCAGCACCACCAGCAGCAGCCGCAGAGCTCGCTCCGCTCATCCGATTGCGGTTGGGGGACGCTGGCAGTCAGACGATCTCAAACCCTAGAAGTACCGTTACAAAGATCTGAAACCTAGTCCGAACCTCAACAGAGACAACCTCCATCTGTTGCTCTCCTCGTCACGCCGATCATCTCGGCGATCATCGCGCCTGTCGTCCCGGCGATCATCGCGCCTGTCGTCCCGCCGGTCGTCTCGCCGCGGGCGACGTGGTGGCGGAGCCCGGGAGTCGAGGGAATCCAAATCGTCTGCCAGGGCTTCAATGTTTAGCGATCTTTTGCGTGCGGATCTGCTTTTGAATCGGCCAATTTATGGGGACTGCGCAATCTACGCTCTACACAGATACACACCTGCCGCTACTTTAGTGCAGACCGAAGCTTGCCCTCAAGCTAAACTAGGATCTTCGCTGAGCTTCTCTATTCGCATGAATTTTGCTGAGGTCTGCGACGAAAGCGGCAAGTCGGAGAACCCAAATTTCGAGCAGCCCCTCGTGAACTCCGCATGGTTCGCAGTGCCTTCGCTGCCCCTCGAATCCTGCGGTCGTCAAGCACCGGACGCAGTTTGGGTCAGGCCATGCTAGTATCCTGAAAGGAGGCATCTGGGCAGTCATACCAAAACCTTCGAACTAGAGGCTTTGCAGGGCGTCCACAAGGCAGCGACGAAGCTTGAAAGAAATCACATCCAAACTCCATACTTGGTCGGCCGCTTAAACCCAAAGAATGATATGGATGCTTGCGCTTGATGACGACTGCAAGTGTAAGATGAGGTGATGATGTTGAGTCACCGAACACCGCTGCAACCGCGTCCTTGGCTCTGCGCTTGCGGGGCTTCTTCTTGCCCTCGCCGCCTGCATCTCATGCTTCATGGCACAGAAAAATCATCTCGTAGAGTCGTAAAGGCATCAACGACCAAAGCTTTGTGTCGCATCACAGCCTGTGGCACAATCGTGAAAGACCATGCTCTAGCTTCCTGTTGTGTGAATCGAGCCGACGCGTGGGTCCTCAAACTCTCCGAGGACCTGAGACCTATGAACCTGACATCTGCCTCGACCAGAAAAAGAGGTACAGTACAAGCAAAGCGCGAGATGCATGACAAGGCTTCGCGCAACTGCAACAAACTGGCTGCATTGGCAGGGAAAAACAAAAACCGCAAGAAGCAGTTTAGGGTTTAGGGTAAACCCTAAACACTTACAAAAGTGTGGCGGGATGCAACTTCAATGTGTTTAACATCACTGTGCAGCTGTTTTAAAGAAAAGGTCTCATGCAGCTGGATAACAGCATCCCGCGACCCCACGTCCAACCATGCAGATACACTGTCTAGGGTACAGAATCATGAGATGATAGGAAAAGAAGAAAAACAGAAGATGTCCAGAGTGAAGCGTGTCTTGTCCCTGCCTTCGCGCTCTGGGGGGCGTTTGGGCTCCTTGGCAGAGCGGTCCTGTCATGTTGACCATCCAAGGTTTGAGGGAGCAGGCACATGAGAACGACGTATCAAGTCTTGTAACGTTTTGCAGGCCGGGAAGAGACAAATGCCTTCGTAGCAGTAGGCCACTGCCGGGACTCCTCCGCTTCTTTGCCGACCTATTGGCACCCGATGCGATGCAAAACAAACTCGCAGAGCATAAAATGCGCAGTACATGTTGGAAGGCACAAGCTTCCATGGTACTATAGGTCCGTTTGCATTCGGGCACACTACTGCATCGTCACGTGTACCATAGTGATGCATCCTATCTAAAGTCCTCATTCATAGCCATGCTTTAGCCAGAAGCGTCGGTCGGTCTACTCCTCAGAACCACATAGGAGGATAGAGCAGAACACAACTAAACAGACCGATCCTGTCGCCCACCATGACTGTACCAGTTGTCATGGGGATATCAGCCACGGCCGTCCTGACCATCAACATCAACATCACCACGACCATCACCATCATCGTCACTGTACCCGGTTCGTCATGGCCGCCATGGCGCTCGGAATCGGTTCCTACTTTCCAATTCCTTTTCCGTAAACCCTACACCGACTATTCACGCGTCGAGATGAGGAGCACTCGGCACCCATGCTTGAGACACCGCGTGTCCTTGGAAGAGGCCGACGAGAACCTCATCGGCTTCGGGCTGATCGGCTTGGGGAGTGCTGGAAAGCAATATAACCTGAATAACGTTATATGATAAAGCAGGCTATAACCCTCGATCTTCACTTATATAATAGATTATACCCAGCAGTGTTCCGAGTCTCGAAGCTTCCGCAAGGCCGTGACGATGGCTTGGAGCTTTCAGGAACTGTTCTGTAATAAGCCTTGAGCTTTGCAACTACTTACCCGGAGGAATGGTGTACCCTGGATGTTCCCTGGACCCAAACACACTGACCGGGCCAGATCTGCAGCAAAGCGGCTGGTTGAATT